ACGATGGATTATAAACGAGCCTGAACGTAACATTACGATTTAGTTGAAATCGACAAAAACAATGTTATATTAGCAAGCTTACCTTCCTTCAGTTTGGATGGATTAATGAATTTCATAAGATTGAAGTCATGCAGCCACCGAAATCTCTAAATATCTTTCTTGATAAATCTATGTAAATAGTCCCTCTTTATGTTTTTCACTACTCAATCTTCTAGCACGTACTCAGATTCTGTTAAGTCGAGACTTCAGTGTCTCGGAAGTGCGTGAACTGGTCAAAGACACTACAAAAAGAACCGTATAGACTCTTCCACAGTCTCTCGCTCGGCCTTTGCACTCTCCACACTTACCGTCTTGAGGAATCCCACTGGGATCCCTGTGGATAACACCTTTGGTTTGTATTGCTGGATCGAAATATTTCAAAGTAACAACGGACGCTCTTTAGTGTTTAAAATTTTTCCCTTTGATCTTGCTCTTCAAAAACTCTTTCGTGCTTGCAGTTGCCAGTTGTTTGCATTTTAATTACTTGCAAGGCTCGGTTACATCAGTAAAAATTTGTCAAACGGGTGTAAACCGGCGCCAACTGATTACTACTACTAGACTATAAGTAATAACCTACTGAGTAGCGAAAAGTGCAGGCTTTGAAAACCTATAAACATTTAATATAACTTGAAAACCGAAAATTTAATATAACTTGAAATTTAAAACCGGTTTGCATTTTATATATTTGACCAACTAGTTGGATTAGTCCTCTCGCCCAAATGGCCTATCAGACAATAACCCATTCGTGCTCAAGGACTAATTGCTAAATATAAGACATAATGGCATATAGACTGCTTTGTTTCGCGATGCAAGTGGCAAAAAAGGGACTGTTAGATGCGGGATTGGGAAATTTTAAGCCGTTGTTGTTTCTGTTACTGGGTGACATTGTCTAAAGTAGGATTAATAATAATTATTTATTCTATTTTTAGTGTATTCCATCTGAAACAATATACTAACTACATGTAGAAGGTCAATTGCTGTATATTTACTTTTTATTTCAAATTAACGAGACCCACAATGCCCTTTTGTCTTGGAATGCACTATTCAGTATCCAGTATTCAGTATTCAACCTTTAATGAAATAGCTGTATACAAGATTATCATCATCATTATCTATCTATCTTAAAACTAACCATCGTAGATTCGAAATATTTATTCTTCTTTTAAATAAATGCCAAGGAAGATTGCTTGTGGAATCTGCTTCTGGTATGGACGGCTGAGGCCACCATTCTCCTTTTCTTGATGTCTTGCTTGTTTTTAAATTTTTGGTTATGTTAAGAAAGTGTCAGTATCGATTCACACCTCTGGGTAGAAATATAGGCTCACAGCCCTGGAGGAATACAATCCTGAAGTATGCCGTCGATGTTTTCAAGCTGCTCCTATTAAAAACAATTAGTGATAAAATATTTAAATATTCAATATAAAAGTTACAGAAAATTGTGATTGCAGGAAAATGAGTCTGCTAATTTCACATGACGATGGTGGTGTTTGTGGTAAAAGCAGTCGGCATTGCAGACCAATAAGAAATTATTCGCATCAACTAATTATAGCCCCATGTAACAGCTACTTTTTTCTGTCCAAATGATGATTGTGATAAATAAAATTACTACCGGCTCATACTTGATGGATGAAAGATAATGGTGGTGGTGGTGGTGGTGGCAACAGAAGTTATCTTAACAGACCAATGAGACAAGTGTGGACTACAAACAGCAAATGTAACAGCTACTTTCTCTTTTTAAAATGGTTATGGTGTTGATGAATAAAATTGCTGCTCACACTCCATATTGGTGGTGGTAATGGTGGTGGTAACAGAAGTTGTCTTACTGCAGAACCATAAGTATGGACTACAAGCAGCAAATCTAACATAAAACTGCTACTCACACTTGATGATAGTGGTGGTGGTTAGGTAGGTGTCTTATTGCAGACCAATGGACGATACACAGCACATGCAACCGAGATACTTTTTGAAATGGTGATGATGGTAGTGGTGTACAACATTACAATAATGACTAACAAACAAGAACATGCATTCAAGTTTACGTCAATGGCTTTCTTTTTTATCTATTTCAATGAATCCAAAAGAGTGCTCACTACAACATCAATTTACAACAAATTACTTTTATTACGTAACACAAAGATGTAATTTGTGATACTGTTTAGTGATTTCAAGCTCAAGATAATACATTCCTACTTGGCAACTAATGAAAAGTTTATTATTACATTGGGGCAAGTGTCTTGCATGACACGCAGATCCTATGATGACAAATGCAATCCGCCCACTTGGAACAATTATATTTACTATAATTAAGGAAACAGACGAAAATACACTTTGATAGAAAAAGAAAATAGGGTCGCTAGCATCAGGTGGATGTAATAGCATAATTGGAGCAAATAACATTACTCTTCTGCAATCCGTGAAATTGCAGTAATGCAACTCGTACCAATCAACCGAATAATGTTCAGCAAAAGTAAAATTGCCTAAATTACTGCAACTATATCTCTACTAGCAGGCACAGTCATCGTACATTGGATGACAATGAAAGAATTACCACAGAAATGTTACGATAAACAATTGCATCAGTTAAAGTAGAGTCAAAAGTAGACACTGTATATACTACTGATAATAAACGGTTTCCCTGTTTGAAGTATCTAGGTACATCACTTACATTGTTGTTTGTGTCCTGCATGACAGGAAAACCTCTCCAAGACAGCTGCATTCTCTCCTGCAAAAAAAAAAGGGAAGAAAAGATATATTAGGTAATGAAAGCATTATAGCAACAGAAATGTTATGATAAACAATTACATCTGTTAATGTAGAGTCAAAATTAGACACTGTATATACTACTGATAATAAACAGTTGTCTTGTTTGAAGTATATAGGTACATGTTGCATCACTTACATTGTTGTTTGTGTCCTGCATGACAGGAAGGCCTCTCCAAGACAGCTGCATTCTCTCCTGCAAAAAGAAAAAAGGAAGAAAAGATATATTAGGTAATGAAAGCAATACAGCAACAAAAATGTTATGATAAAGAGTTTCACTACTTACAGTGCCAATAACTTGCAGACCTCTTGGTGGCAACTGGAATCTTTCTGTTCCGGTTCCCTGAAAAGTAATAAGTAGACACTGTATATTAGTAACAATAAAACATTTACTTCAGAAATATCAGGGTAAATAGTTGCATTACTTACACTGTTGTTTGTTTCCTGCATGACAGGAAGACCTCTCCATGACAGCTGCAACCTTTGTAGATCATTAAATGGCAAGATGAACAGTGTTGTTGCATCACTGATACCGTTGTTTATGTCTTGCATGACGGGAAGACCCCTCCATGAGTGCTGCAATCTCTCCTGCAAAAAGAAAGAAAAGACATTTATTGTATGTTAATTTAAGAATAGCTGCAGAAATATTTGAATCATTAGCAAGTTTCTCAAAGAGCTGCAATCTTTCTGTGACAAAAGCACCACCTATTTTCCCTTTAGAACACGTATAAGAAAAGCTTCGTAACATGGATTTTGAATTAAAAAAGTGAAGGTTACACTGCAGCAAGTCTCTAGTCCATTTCCAAAAATCTCAAAACAACACTATATATAAACCACATGTGTACTGGTATGAAAATGATCACAAATACAACACTTACATTGAAACTTTGAGACTCTTGAATAACCCATACTAAAAAGGCTTGCAACCGTCCTCGTAACCAAAGTACAGCATAACCCAGGAAAAGGACAAACTTGAGGGAAAAGAAAATATTGTACTT